TCCCAGGGCTGCTCAGCTCTGAGGCAGACTGAGAGCTCCAGAATTCCCCACAGCGCTGAATTAATCTGCATGATTCACAGCTGATGACTCTGCCACCAGATTTAGCAGCACAGAGAACAAAACGGGGGTCTGTGAGCAGCACAGACTCACTCCCTGGCACGGATGCAGCGGGTCTTGCAGCCCTCCATGGGGCAATCTGAGCTTGAGGAGGGAGGAGGGCATTGCAAGCATCCCACTAGTTAGGGTGCCTGACTCCAAAGTATGTAATTCCACAAGTCTAACTCAGGCTGTGAACTGGGAATGGGGATTCTAAACCTCCATCCCCAATTATTCAATCCTGGTTCCCCTGCATTTGGAAAATTTCAGCTCTTTGTGCCAAATGTTTATGAATTCCAACGCAACCTTGCCAGGAGCTCGCCTGCAGTTCTTTTGAAAGCATCTGGGTTTATTTCTCCCTTTTCTTTTTTAACAATGGGCCTTGCAGAGGAAAAGTAAATTCTTTATTGCTACCCAGCCAAGCAAATAAAAGTGTGTTGTTTTTTTAAAAAAATAAATCAAAATAGAAAAAACCTATACAGTAACAAGTGGGGCCAGAAAATGCAAATTCTTTCTCCCTGCCCCCACTCCATTTTGTTTTTCAGGACCATGGATAGTAACCCAGGATTGCCTTTTGCGGCCACCAGCCACAAATTTTGCCAAATTCTTCCACTGATTTCCCATTACATCCCCATCACAAAAACCTAATGCTAGTTGTTCTTTCTATGGGCACTGCCTGACTTTGCTCCCTGATTTTTTCCCCTCTTAATCTGGACTATTTGCCATCTCACACCATGGTGTACCTGGGTTTTTTATGCCTTTGAGTTAGTGTTGACTCCTGGTGAGACCCTAGATGAGTCCTTGAAGTTTTCTGGGCAAGATTTTGCCAGTGGAGGCTCACTGTTGCCTCCTTTCTGCTCAATTCCATCCATGTAGCTTTCTTGGCAACTTTCTAGAGGAGGTTTATGATTGGCTTGCTCTGGAATGTTTTCCTGGCATCCCAATCTGAATTTTCTGGCAGGATGCCATCCCCATATTAACCTGGCATGCTGAGAGTACCAATATATTTCCCAAAGTGGTTTTCAACATCCTATAAAATCAGTTTATCTCTCTTAGACCTCAATTGCTTCTCTCTCCCCCTTTCTCTCCCTCTTTCTCTGTGTCCCCATTAATAGATCTGTAAATACATTTGGTGCATTGAGTTCCCTGAGATTTTTCCACAATTGCTCTGAAAGAATAGCTTTCAGGAAGCAGCTGTGAATGAGAGACTTGGGGTCTTCCTGGAATGAAAAGCCACAAAATTTAATCAAATGGCTAAATTGCATTTCCTCCCTTTGGAGTTTTAGATTGAAAATGCTGGCTGGCTGGCTGGCTTTTTCTTACCTTAGTTTGAGGAACAGACATGAGATGGTTTCATCAAGGCTGAGGCTGTTCTGAGAGACTAAAATCTGCCCTTCTAGCGTCCTTTGCTTTCCTGTCCATAAAATGGAAACTGTGATTTTCTTTATAGGTTCCCCATCAAGGGAGCAGAACAAAGCCTGAGTGCTTTGGTCACTCAGAGGTAGCAGCCCTGAATGCCACTCACAGCTTTAAGCCCCGGCTATTATTCCTGTAATTTGATTTGCTGGAAAAACCGCCGTGCAAAGGGCACCGTCCGGCTTTTATTCTCTGCCTGAAAGGCTTTTGGCTGTTGTGGGGCTGGTTTTATTTTGCCTCTTAAATACTCCCAGGACCCAATTTAAGCCAGCAAATGGGATGGCAGAGTTTTCCCCTGAAGATTTTCCCCTTATTTCTTGTGCAAACCATGAGTGAGTTTATTCTAAATTCAATTAGAAGAGTCTAATAAGCTGGGTGAGGAGACGGGTGAGCGGTCTCTGGTGTGCACGACGAGAGGCTGCACGCGAATCTCGAGGTTTTGCTGAAGGTCAACAGAGCTATCTCTTTCCAAAGAAGGCGGACATTAATCAAATCCTGTCACTTTTACCATTTATTACAAGATTTGCAGGGCAGACCCAGCACGGAAGAAGAGAAAAAAAAATCACAACAGAGGCAACCTTTTTAACTTCACATCAGGGGGGAATCTAAGCTGCATACACAATTCACTTCCCTTAGCATGGCATCCTCCAGATAGGCCTGTTTTTCACTCCTGTGCTTACAGGGAGTGATAGGCATTGTAGTCCAACAGCTGGGAGCTGCCAGATTAGGTTAGGAAGAGTTGTTGGCAGCTCCCTGCTCGAGTTCTCCACAGCCCCAGTTGGTTTTGTTGGTAGGTTGAATCCATAAGTGGAGTCTCCTCTTTAATGCCACTATGAGTACGCCGGTTGAATGTTGATGATTGAAATGATTCTGGGGGGGGGGGGTGTTTATTCACACTAATGCAGAATCTAATCGGGGAGCAGCAAGTATGGCAACTTTAGGACTTGTGGATTTCAACTCCCAGCTATGGCTGGCTCAGGAATTCTGGGAGTTGAAGTCCACAGGTCATAAAAAAGGTCATATTTGCCCACCCTTGGTCTGGCTTGAGTCCAGCTATTATTATTATTTTTTAAAAAGGAAATTTGGATTTGACTTAACTACGACAAACCTTTTGCCAGCGGCCATCACATCTGCAACTGGAACAGAGTCTGGTTCAAGAAGACCCATCCTTCTTCTAAGGCTGGCCGAGGAATTCTGGGAGTTGAAGTCCGTAAGTCTTTAAAGTTGTCAAATTTGGAGACCCCTGTTTGAAGGAGAACCAATGGACTCCTTTGGGGGTTTAGCATTTGAAAGCAGTCACCTCCTGTAATGGGTGCAAATTTTAAAAAGAGAGGTGGCGATGCTGAAACAAAATCAACAGAAAAAATCAAAATCAAAATTGCTCTCCTCAAATCAGAACCTTTAGGTCACCAGGGGTGAATTTAGAAACTAACACCTTAAATCTAAAAGCACCAAAATTGCCCCAGATATCTTAATTTATTGATGGACATTTCCTAATTAAATGGGACATTAATTTGGAAGCAAATAAAATATTCCACTTTATTTTTGATTTATTGACCATGGAGACAGATACAAAGCCCATCGTTCCCTGCAAGGCTGGAGAGTTTATTTCTCTCCCAATGGGTGCCAGTTTTAAAAAGTTTCTCCAAGATGAATGATGCACAATTTTCCCAAGTAAAAAGGATTGTTGTGAGCTCCTTCTCACGCTGTCCAGAGACTTTCCTAGAGCGTCACAAGGCAAGATAGTCCTTCATCCATGCATTCAGAAGAAGCTCTTGCAAAATATGGTTCTGTTTGATCGTTTCATCTTGAAGATGAGAGGCTGCCTGTTAAGGCAATTTGTGTGTGTCATGCTAATTATATCTCTTATTCATATAACGGGAAGCTCATTTTAATAATAGCTCAAACTGTACATTTTGCGTCAGAATTCCCGAAAAAGCTTTCTCACAAAGATTCTTTTTCTCAGATGGGTAGGTTTTTGCAAAAGCTCCCTTTAAATCATCATCATCATCATCATCATCATCATCATCATCATCATCATCATCATCATCATCATCATCATCATCATCATCATCCCTTTCTTGCTCTTGACTCCCTTTTCTTCACCTCGCTGTGAATTTCTTTCTGCAATATGGCTAGGCTTGCCACTGTGATCCTGACTTTGCTTGAAACCAAGTGCAAAACTGGATTATTTTCACCATGAGACAGACAAAACCTCCTACGGCACCCAGAGTTTTTTTTCTGCATAAAAACGCACTTTGCATGCTTTGCAGGCATAAAGTCTTGCAGCTTGGTACCATAAGCAAGATGGAAGAGCTTTCTACCTTTTCAATTAAGCAAATTTGCCTGAAGATGAAAAGCAGCACTCAACTGGAAAAGACAGCATTTTCCCTTTGGCGAGGGAACAAAAATAAGTTGCTTTTTTTCCCCCCTTCCCAGTTATGCCTGGAAGAGAGACTTTACCCATCACGGCTTCTGAAGGAATGAGAGCTCCAGACTGGTAGCTTAATTCTGATTTGATTTTATAGAATTGGAGATTAGAATTTTATGAAGAGATGGGAATCTTTTAGATTTTGCTTTACATTAATTTGGAAGGTGTTCTTCTCAGACCTCTCAAACCATGCTGACATTTTAATACACTTAGAAAGGCCATTGAGATAACTCCAGCATTCTATTCTGGCTATCCTGATATACCCATTTGTGCTCACAGATCATCTGTTCCAATGAAATGGATGATGACGCAGCAAAGTCCGTCCTTTGACCAACATTTTGATCTTCAAAGAAGGAAAGAAAGAAGGGGGGAGGCACAGAAGTTGGACTACAGAAACACTCCGTCTGTGGGGACTTAGATTTGCTCATTACTAATGTGCAACAGTTGAAGTTAAATAAAAGGTAATAAAAGGCTTGGTGTATCAGATAAATAGACCATCTTGTGCAGCATTCTTGATCCTTGCAGTGGGCAGCAAAGCACCTCTGTGAAGGGCATGATCAGGGCACGGAGATAAAGACTTCCCCCCTCCCCCCATCATTCCCTGCCCTGAATGGTAAATCTGGAGTCATTTATCTCTCTCATTCTGCCTGGCCTGCTTTGAAAGGCATCCGAGGGGCTGCCCTCCCAACCAGTAGGGTCTGCTCCAGTACAGATGGAGAAGGCTCCACTCCAAATTCCTACCTTGTTCTGGAGAAACCCACAGTCCCATTCCAGTAAAAGGTGCCCCTCCCCCTATGCTGGTGGGCTTTGGAAAGTCACCTGGCCTGCCCTGGGCTCTCAAAAAGAGAGATCCTGAAGGGTCTTCCTCTGTTTCCCTCTTTTGGCCAAACCCAGGGGATGATTTGCACCAATTGTCCCTTAAATTGTGGGGGCTTTTCCTGTTCAAGAAGTCCATAAAACTGAAACCTGCAAGTCCCTCAAAGGCATCCGCTTGTGTTGGGGCGAGACGAAGTACGTTTCTGGTGTGGCAAAACAAAAAGGTAGGGCCTTGGAGCCTTCAAAGCAGGCTGAACTGCATCTCCTTCTCTTTCTGGCTCAGGGTTTGTTGTTCAGCCTCTGCTCCGGTGGTCCCAGCCAGCCTCCCCGCTTTGTGGTTGGCCTGCTGGCCGATGGGGCCAACCTTCCTGGAGCTGTCATTGCCAGAGGCTGTGTGAAAGCTACGCTGCCGCTGAAGTTCCTCCTCGCTATACTTGCAAAGCTTCTTGAAGGCCAGACGGAACTTCTGGGACATGAGGTTGTAGATGATGGGGTTGATGGCACTGTTGGTGTAGATGCAGATCCTGCAGAAGAGGACAAACCAGCGGTCCAGGTAGGGGTGCTCCACGAAGGAGTTCACCAAAACCAGAGTCCTGTAGGGCATCCAGAGTAGGGCGAAGAGGGCCACCACCACAGCCAACATCTTGGTGACCTGGAGGAGAAAGGAGGAGCTCAGAGGGCTTCAGAGGAGATGAGACAGCCTTGTAAGGCTAGCCACAAGGCCGGGGAAGGTGGCATGTCAAGCTTTGAAATTTAAGACCAATGCAATGGGGCCTATGGTCACAGCACATGGTAGCATCTGTCCAGCGATAGCTAATCCCAGAGTGCTAAGCAGACCTGAGTAGAAATTGGCTAATATTTCAACTTAGTTGTACTCAAGAGGAACGAAAGATGCTTTATGTTTGCATGGACATCTACAAATGGTGAGGGTGAAAGGACCCCCTGCATGGAGGAGGACCCTCTCAAGTGCTACCTCTTGTTATAGTTGCAACAGTGGTTCTCAACCTTGGCAACTTTAAGATGTGTGGACTTCAATTCCCAGAATTCCCCGGCCAGCCAGGGGATTAGGGAATTCTGAGAGTTGAAATCCACACATCTTAAAATTGTCAAGATTGAGAAACACTGGCTTATGAGGTCAAAAATCACAAACCTTCCAGAGTGGTTGCAGTGTTTTTTCCCCCTCTGCCCCAAATGGACTCTGGAAACTCAGCCAGGTCTGCCCACCTGTTTCCTGGAAGAGACCGGCACTCTGGTTCTTGAACTGCCAGCTCTGCTCGGGCCAACCTCGGTGCCGTTTTTCTCCTGGTTGCTTCGTTCTCGCCAGCATTCACTGAGGCCAGCAGGGTGGTGCAGGGCATGACTCTGGAGGAGGACTTTTCCAATGAGGCCATAGAGCACAGTGGTGAGCAGCAGAGGTGTGATGAAGAAGAGGGCGAAGTCCAGCAGGTAGATGGGCAGGTAAAGGTTGCGGGAGACCTTATAGCCACACTCCAGCTGCTGGCTGTTGTTAGCAGCCACATCCACCAGGAAGAACCAGAGCATGCAGTACACCGAAATGAGGATCCAAACAAATGCCATGATGCGCTTGGCCCGAGACACGGTGCACATTGTCTGTGCCTTCATTGGGTGGCAGATGGCAATATATCTGGGAAAGAGAGGAAGGAGAGAGAGGGATGTAAGAGAGCATGTGATCTGAAAGGCAACATGGGAGAAAGAGTCACCTCCATCTAGCAAGGACTTTTAAGCTGGTTCCTTTGTCTGGGTCACTTCCTGCCTTGTGCAGAAGGGGCCACTGAGTGGCATCTCATGAAGGATACCATCTCTTGTGTAGCCCTTTGCACAAACACATTTGGGGAGTATCATTCATAATGTAGAAGAGAGTATCTACCTGGCCCTCAGAAGGTCCCTTGTTCAATATGCAGCATTTCCAGTTAGAAGGATCAGATACTGAAATCTACCCTTACCTTTCCACAGTGAAAGCTGTAATAGACCAGGAGGATGCATTAATGCCCAGGTACTGAAAGTAGGTAATGCCAAGGCACCCAGCAAAGCCATAGATCCATGTTCCTGCCAGGCTGTCAGAGATGTTGGGCAGGCCAGCAGCCACTAGAACGATCAGATCAGCCACAGCCAAACTAACCAAGTAGCAGTTGGTCGGAGTCCTCATGTCACGGGTGGTCAGAACGACGGTGACCACCATGGCATTGCCAATAATGCCAATTCCACATATGGCAAGCACCAGGAAGACTGAGATGGTCTTGTATTCAAAGATGCTGAATGGGAGACCGCCAATCCCCAAGGAGATGTTGGTGGGGGTGTCTACTTTGCTGCTGCTGATGTTCTCCATGGCCAAAGTTAGAGCAAGACACTGCCTGGGGTGGTTAAAAAAAAACAAAGTTTCATGAAACAAGGGGTCCCCTCTCCCATCAAGACCATCAGAGGTCTCCATTGGCCAAACAGGGAAGTCCTGGGGACGTGTCAAGCAGATGTGAAGCAGAGGAGCACCCAAGTACGATGTCCCTTGCATGTACTAGTCTCTGCCTATCCTCAGTCACAACTGGTTTCAGAAGGCTCTCAAACACCAGCCACACATTAAAACAAAAATGGTAAAAAGAAACCCCACCTAAAACAGAGGTGAGAAACGTGTAGTTCTCCCAATGGTGCCAATCATCCATTCCTGACATGCTTCCCTTTTGGCTCTAGGAACATCTGGGGGCCACAGGTCCCACTCACTCTCTGCCCCCTTTGTCCTTCCAGGTCTTCTTCCAGGTTCCCAGGAATTTATTTCTATGGGGGAAGGAAAGCTTGCCTCGGAGGCACCCCCATCCACATTCCTGAGCCTTTTCTTTCTTTCTTTCCTTTTTTTCTGCTTTTTCTTTTTTTGAAGTACATTCAAGCATTTAAAGTAATTGGCTAATGATTGGATTAATCCATATAAAGTGAGATAATTGACCAATTTGGAAGCATTCAATCACTGACAGCTCTTATTGGACACCCTCCTTCCTTGCTTTGTGTGTATGTGTGTGTGTCAAAGAGTGGGTATGTAAGAGAAATGTGAAGGGGGGGAGGTCTGCTGTCTTTTGATCTTAAACCTCATTTTAATGCTATCTTTCAGCACTCTCAACTCAATGTGCAAAACCCTACAAAAACTTCAGGCAGCTGGAGAAGCAAAGATGGCCTTCCACTGACTGGCTGGTCATGTCAGGAAAGCAGGGAGAGCAGCTTCCAGCCCTGAGAGTAGCTATTTCTTTGGGGCTCCTATTGGAATATTTTATTCTACTTCACAGTTATTTTTGCTTGGTTTAGATTTTACCCTACAGTCAAGGACTGTACCTTCCAGGGATACTTTGAACTGAACTAAATTGAACTGAACTGAATTAAATTGAATTGAATACTTTATTTGGCCAAGTGGGACTAGATACACAAGGTATTTGTCTCCAGTACAGATGTACTCAATGTCCATGCAAAGCAACAGAGACAATAATAACAACAACTGGAGCACCACTTGAGCACCGTCGGCTGTGACAAATTCGCCATCATTTCAATTGCAAAAGGCAGCTTTACTCAGAACGGCTTCCATCCTCCGATGAGATCTGTGACACCATCAAACGTCCACATCTGCCTATCCCAGGTCCTTGGAAAGGACTCAGTAGGTAGACAAAAATGTCAAACCCAGACTGAACATCTGGCTGACTTGCCACAAATCATCATCATCCCAATAAAAAAGGGAAGCAAAGAAGATAAGGGGGAGAAATGATAATACTACAGCCACACCATACGGGTTAATAATCATAGACCTTAGGCAGAACTGTGAGAATTAGGGGTTCAGCAGAATGAAGGCATGAGGGGAAAATCTGTCCCTGTGTCTAATTGGGGCAAGGTTCTGGAAGTGCTATCAAGGAAGAGCGAGCATGGACCTCATTTCACGTTAGACGACTTTCCAGTCATAAATCCAGCTGCTGTTTGCAGAAGCAGATGGAGACACTCACAACAACTGCCAAACATTTTAGCCCCGTGAAGCCTATTTGGCAAACCTGCCCCAAAGCTCTGCTCTCCCTAAAGCTCGTTTTCTGTTCCCCCACTTTTTTTCTGAAGGGAGGGGAGAGCACAACAGCCTAGCTGTCCCAAGCCTTTATGTCGTGACTACACTTCCCATCCCCTACCCTCCGTTCTCCCAGTTGAGGAGGATGGCAATTGTGGTCTGCGATGTTTAGCAGGCGACTGATGGAGAAAGTATGGCTAATAAATAGAGCCTGCAAAATTGCTGGGCTTGGTTTAAAATAAAAAAGTGAAACTTTATTCAGCCAGCCTTGCTAAGAAGGCAGCAGATCATCCAGTATCTGAAAAGGGAGCTTTTGGAGGAGAGACGGATCCCACAAGGATTCCAAGTGGCCGAAGCTCACCATTTTCTCCAAGCTACTCTGCCCAAAAGATGGCTTACTTGAATGCCCTGCTTTGGGATCTGGTTGATCCCCTCCCATCTCTTTGCTTCCCCTCCTCAACAAGGACCAGGAATTCCCCCCTGCCTTTTTCACCCTGACCTGACCCAGGAATCTGCTGCATCTTGAGAAAAATCGGTCATGGACTTTGTAGTCTTTTGAGGCAGGCAGATGAAAAGCGCACACTCTCCGCAAAGGGATGCCTTCCTATCCTCCTTTGCAATCACACACACATATAAACACAAAACACACACAGACACCTACCTTGTGCCACCAGCAAACTTTTCCTGCAGAACTCGTCTTTTTCATGCACCCCCTTCTGAGCCTTCTCGACCATGCAGAGGAGGCAAGGATGTCTTCCCCCTCCCCTCCCCTCCCCCCCCACCTCAAGCCCACTTTGGTGGAGAAGCAGCAGCTCCCAGAAAGATGCCTCTTAACAGCAGCTGCCTCCAGCTCCTCTGTGCCGCTTGGGGAGGGGGGTTTCTGCTCAGGGATGCGATGTGGGGGGGGGGGACTGCCCATCAGCTGATCCAGCTCCCTCCACAGACTAACCTGTAAGCGGAGAGACCCTCTCACTGCCTGCGAAAATCAACACAGAGTCACACAACTTGCAGAGAAGCGCAATCAGACAGTGGGCAGCAAATCAAAGCAATGCCAGTGTTTTGCTGCTGGGTTTGTGTGGCCACATTGCCTGATTAGACAGAGGGTGTTTTAGGGGCTGCCAGGGACTGACGGCACAAGGGAGAAATGCTTGGATTTTGATCCATCCTTAAATGCAGAATTTTGTGTAGGCTGATGAATTTTGCAAACTGACAAAAAAGGGCCCCGTTTCCTTCCATGGTGAGATTTGTGGGATTCATGCTTAGGGAGCTCCCCCACCTTCCTCCCCAGGACATAAAAATCTGCAAACTGGAGCCAAGCGCAGAGAACGTCAGTGGGGTGCCCTCCTTTCATTAAGCCATGATGTGGTTTGCTGTCTGTTTGGCTTGGTAACCCTAATTCTGCATCCTGTTTTTTATCTGCTTTGACGCGTCTGATTGTAGCCATCCTGGCCTTTTAATGATGGCATATGGCTTTATGGATTACTGCCTTGTCGTAGCGAAGGGGCTTGCGTAACTCAATGAAGCTATGAGCTATGCCGTGCAGGGCCACCCAAGACGGACAGGTCATAGCAGAAAGTTCTGACAAAATGTGATCCACTGGAGAAGGAAATGGCAAACCACTCCAGTATCTTTGCCATGAAAACCCCATGGACAGTACTAAAAGGCAAAAAGATATGACGCTGGAAGATGAGCCCCTCAGGTCGGAAGGTGTCCAATATGCTACTGGGGAAGAGCAGAGGGCTAGTACTAGTAGCGCCAGAAAGAATGAAGCGACTGGGCCAAAGCTGAAAGGATGCTCAGCTGTGGATATATCTGGTGGTGAAAGGAAAGTCCGATGCTGTAAAGATCTTTTCTCCATAGGGACCTGGAATGTGAGATCCATGAATCAAGGCAAGCTAGACGTAGTCAAACAAGAGATGACAAGACTGAACATCGACATCTTAGGAATCAGCGAACTAAAATGGACAGGAATGGGTGAATTTAACTCAGATGACCATCAGGTATACTACTGCGGGCAAGAATCCCTCAGAAGAAATGGAGTAGCCTTCATAGTCAATAAAAGAATAGGAAAAG